ATAAGGAAGTGATAGCCGAGGCTATATGAACCACTTCCCCGCCGGCACTCGGAACAAAGGTGCTTAAAGGTTGTTCATATAGCCTCGGCTATCACTTCCTTATTGTCCGGTCGTGATGGTCAAGCGGATTAAGGCGTCCCTGTACATACCAGTTGTGGGAGTATGGGTTCGAGTCACTTCTGGGGTGTGAGTTTTCAGTTGTATATAGTCCTGGGGACCATTCAGGCTTGTTTGCATGTGTGTTCCTCACGTGTGCCCCAAAGAATGAGGTGATTTGATAAAATGCTATGCCCAAGATTACCATCCGAGTGCCGGCGGGGAAGTGGTTCATATAGCCTCGGCTATCACTTCCTTATTGTCCGGTCGTGATGGTCAAGCGGATTAAGGCGTCCCTGTACATACCAGTTGTGGGAGTATGGGTTCGAGTCACTTCTGGGGTGTGAGTTTTCAGTTGTATATAGTCCTGGGGACCATTCAGGCTTGTTTGCATTTGTGTTCCTCACGTGTGCCCCAAAGAATGAGGTGATTTGATAAAATGCTATGCCCAAGATTACCATCCGAGTGCCGGCGGGGAAGTGGTTCATATAGCCTCGGCTATCACTTCCTTATTGTCCGGTCGTGATGGTCAAGCGGATTAAGGCGTCCCTGTACATACCAGTTGTGGGAGTATGGGTTCGAGTCACTTCTGGGGTGTGAGTTTTCAGTTGTATATAGTCCTGGGGACCATTCAGGCTTGTTTGCATTTGTGTTCCTCACGTGTGCCCCAAAGAATGAGGTGATTTGATAAAATGCTATGCCCAAGATTACCATCCGAGTGCCGGCGGGGAAGTGGTTCATATAGCCTCGGCTATCACTTCCTTATTGTCCGGTCGTGATGGTCAAGCGGATTAAGGCGTCCCTGTACATACCAGTTGTGGGAGTATGGGTTCGAGTCACTTCTGGGGTGTGAGTTTTCAGTTATATATCATATATATATATATATATATATATATATATATATATATATATATATATATATATATATATATATATATATATATATATATATATATATATATACACACACACACGAAAACACACTTTCGCAACTTTTGTTAGGCCAAAGCTAGAATATGCAGCGGTTGTGTGGTACCCAGATTTTAAGAAGCACATCAAGAAACTGGAAAAGGTGCAAAGACATGTTACTAAGTGGCTCCCAGAACTGAAGGGCTAGAGCTATGAGGAGAGGTTAGTGGCATTAAAGCACTAGGTAGGAAACTATGAAGATGAAATTAAGTACTTTTTGGTTTTATTTTTTAATATGGTAAAAGTAGAACAGCTTTTCAATTTGTTAGGGAGTGAGTTCCATAGATTAGGTCCCTTTATTTGCATAAAGTGTTTACACAGATTAAGTTTGACTCTGGGGATATCAAAGAGATATTTATATCTGGTGTGGTGATTATGTGTTCTATTACATCTGTCCAGGAAGAGTTTCAGACTAGGATTTGCCTTTAAGAAAAGGGTTTTGTAAATGTAGTTGACATAAGAGAATGTGTGAAGTGAATTTATGTTTAGCATGTTTAGGGATTTAAACAGGGGAGCTGTGTGTTGTCTGAAAGCAGAGTTTGTTATTGTTCTGATAACAGATTTTTGCTGGGTGATAATGAGCTTGAGGTAGTTTGCAGAGGTTGAACCCCATGCATAGATACCATAAGTAAGATAGGGATGGATAAGTTCATAATATAGTGAGAGGAGAGCAGAGTAGGGTACATAATCAAGTCAACTAACAAACTAACATTAAACATAGAAAAGACCTACTACATCTTATTTGGAAGCAAATCATCGAATGCAATTCAGCTACAGATAGACAACATTAACATCAGTAATAAAAATGATGGCAAGTTTCTTGGCCTATTCCTAGACAAGAGACTCAACTTCAGCACCCACATTCAACACATAACTAAGAAAGTCTCTAAAACAGTTGGTATACTCTCTAAAATAAGATATTATGTGCCTAACTCTGCTCTCCTCTCACTATATTATGCACTAATCTATCCTTATCTTAATTATGGTATCTGTGCATGGGGGGTCTATCACTGCAAACCACCTTAAGCCCATCATCACCCAGCAAAAATCTGCTATCAGAATAATAACAAACTCTGCTTTTAGACAACGCTCAGCTCCCTTGTTTAAATCCCTAAACTTGCTAAATATTAACTCCCTCCAAACATTCTCTTGTGTCAACTACATTTACAAAACCCTGTTCTTAAATGCAAACCATGCTCTGAAACTCTCCCTGGACAGATGTAATAGGACCCATTATCACCACACCAGAAATAAATATCTCTTTGATATCCCCGGGGTCAAACTTAATCTGTGTAAACACTCTATGCAAATTAAGGGACCTAGTCTATGGAACTCACTCCCTAGTGAATTGAAAAGCTGTCAAACTTTTGCCTCATTTAAAAACAAAAACAAAAAGTACCTAATTTCATCTTCGTAGTTTCCTACACTGAGCTTTAAATTTGCTCTGTATCTAGTGTTACCCAATCTCCCAATTTTTATGTACTTAACCCAAACAACTTTATCATTGTGTCCTCATCTTTTTTTTTTTTTTCTTGCTATGTAACTGTTATCATTTTTATAAATTTTGCAAGTATTTACCTACTTAAAATTTTCTTAGATTAAGGACCTGCCCGAAACGCTGCGTGTACTAGTGGCTTTACAAGAATGTAATTTCTATGCTATGTATCCTCACAATCCCAGTGTACCTTCTTGTATATATATAAATAAATAAATAAATAAATAAATAAATAATATCTGATCTTAGAGAGCATACCAACTGTTTTAGAGACTTTCTTAGTTATGTGTTGTATGTGGGTGCTCTTGTTTATATAGGCCAAGGAACTTTTCATCATTTTTATTGCTGATGTTAACATTTTTTTATCAGAAGCTGAATTGCATTTGTTGATTTGCTTCCAAATACGATGTAGTAGGTCTTTTCTATGTTTAGTGTGAGTTTGTTGGTTGACATCCATACGTGGACTTTTTTTAAATTTATTGTTTACAACATTATTTAATATGAGTGGGTTGGGGTTTGAGTAGATGAGAGTAGTATCAGCAGCAAACAATATAGGTTTAAGCATGTTAGAGACATTAGGCAGATCATTGATGTATATAAGAAATAGGAGGGGCCCTAGGATGCTGCCCTGTGGCACCCCTACAGTTAATGGTAGAGTGGGAGAGGTTATATTATTGATGGCTACATATTGGTGTCTGTCACTAAGATAGGATCGGATAAAGTTCATGGCAATGCCTCGGATTCCATAATGGTGGAGTTTAAGCAAGATGTAGTTATGGTTAACAGTATCAAAAGCCTTTCTCAGATCAGTGAAGAGTCCAATCGGAAACTCACTTTGTCAAGGGCTGAGTAGATTAAATCAAGCAGACTAACAATTGCATCATTGGTACTCTTTTGGGAGTGGAAGCCAAACTGACAGGGATTTAGTATGTTGAATTTTACAAGATAGGAGTAGAGCTGTATGTAAATAATTTTTTTCAAATATTTTTGATAATATAGGTAGATTTGATATTGGTTTGTAATTGTTTATGTCTATCGGATTGCCTCCTTTATAAACTGGCGTTACTCTTGCTTTTTTAAGGATATCAGGGAAGGTATGACACTCTAGAGATTTGTTGAACAGCAAAGCTATGGGCATGCAAGGGCATGTGAGACACTCTTGTACACCATGGATGGTATTTCATTAATGTTCCCAGCTTTGGTTTTTTAGTGAGTGAATGATAGACACAACATCTGTAGGGCTGACTGGTAAGAGGAGAAGAGTTTGGGACGCTGCCGGAAAGCTGTGTGGTAATGTGTCTGGGTCTGTGGGATTTTTTGGGCAAAGTTAGCACCAATCGATGAAAAGAAGCTATTAAATTCAGTTGCTGTTTCTAGAACTGTTGCAGGTGTATAACCATCCTTGGAGATTTTTATCTGGTTATGTGAATGTTATTTAGCTCCTAGGATGTTAGAGATGGCTCTCTATGTGCTTTTCATGTTGCATTTTGCTTCTTTGAATGTATTCTCATAATTGGAAAGTTTTTCTTTTCTTATTATACTGGTAAGCACAGTAAGTACCTCTTAACTACTTCCTTTGCAACTAGGCCAATCCTAAGTTTTTTTTCATATTCATGTTTCTTGTCGATTGCTTTGAGTACACCATTTCTGAGCCAGGGATTATTTAACCTTTTGTCAATTACTTGCTTGGTGAGGAGAGGGCAGTGAGTATTGTAAAGGCTTAAAATTTTGGAAAGGAAGAGGTTAGTTAATGAATTTATATCCTGTGTATTATTAAATTCAGATTCCCTGTTTGTTTTGTGGAGGGCATTTGTGAGATTGCCTATTGCTGCTTCACTGTGTAACCTAAAGGTAAGTTTCTTGTTAGCTGGTGGTGTTATGTCCATGTTCGCAATGAGGAAGGTAGGGTAGTGGTCAGTTGTTCTGTCAGTGATTATACCAGATGTGAGGGGAGGTGTTATGTTAGTCCATAAATGATCCAAGGTAGTTGCAGATGTTTGAGTGAATCGGGTGGGCCTGGTGATTATGGGGATTAGCATACAGGAGTTCATGCTGTTTAGGAAATAGTTGACTTGAGGGCTATTTTGTTGATACAGGTCAATATTAAGTTACCGAAGATATATGGATTATTCCTCACCCACGGCTCACCACTAAGTATAAGTATGCATATTTGACCAGTTTGAAAAACAAAAAATCCAGTTTCTTATATATTGCAAGGAATAAATTTTACTTGCTGTTCTTACCATCTCTAGTTACAGTTCAGGAGGTTACCTGCTCATTTTCAATTGTCTCCTTCATATCTCTACTTGCATTTACTTACCACTGTCCACTCAGCTGGGATTCTACAGATGTAAACATTACGTGTAAACATAATTATGTAAACACTTACAATTATGTAAACATAATAGTAAGTAGTTGAGAAAGCTGTAATGTGACTCACCAGATGATACAACCGGTGACATTGCTCCAGAGTCTGGCAAGGGGTCTAAAGAGGTCTGACGGGGGTCGAAGGTTGTGGAGTCTACAACATAATCAGGGTTGATCTCAAAAGGTATAGTGGGTGTGGTGGTCTGAGGTGTGTAACTGTACCCTGAGGCAGGGAAGGAAGAAATCTCCGGACCATAGTACCTGAAAAGAAAAATGCTGAAGACTTAGTGCAATATGCACAGATACAACATGATTTTGATAAGCTTGCATAATGTAAGAAGGTAATTTTTTAAATACCATTCTTATGGTTTATAATGGATACTAAGTATATACAGTACAAATAAAATACAAAAGTAACAAGTACACGGAACACATACACACACCCACCAGGAGCAAAAAAAATCACCACAAAAACAGAATTTCTTATAGGCATGATCGTCAATAAGCAGACAACTCTAGTAAACTGAGGCAGGTTGCCCCGCATGACCAGGAACCACGTGCTCGGTAGACCCAAACGTGTACCAATAAATATCATTAGTCGACGACGCTATCGTAAGTCGAGTCGCATTTTTCGATCATATTTACATCGTAACTCGAAATTATCGTAAGTCAGGGCAATCGTAAGTCGAGGTGCCACTGCATTATATATATATATAATGCATATATATATATATATATATATATATATATATATGCATTATATATATGTCGTACCTAGTAGCCAGAACACACTTCTCAGCCTACTATGCAAGGCCCGATTTGCCTAACAAGCCAAGTTTTCATGAATTGTTTTTCGACTACCTAACCTAACCTAACTTTTTCGGCTACTTAACCTAACCTAACCTATAAAGATAGGTTAGGTTAGGTAGGGTTGGTTAGGTTCGGTCATATATCTACGTTAATTTTAACTCCAATAAAAAAAAATTGACCTCATACATAATGAAATGGGTAGCTTTATCATTTCATAAGAAAAAAATTAGAGAAAATATATTAATTCAGGAAAACTTGGCTTATTAGGCAAATCGGGCCTTGCATAGTAGGCCGAGTACGACGTTCTGGCTACTAGGTACAATATATATATATATTATTAAATATGACCGAAAAAGTAAGATTAATAATCCTAACACGAATTTTCTCAATCTTTCGTACATTTCTTTTCACTGTTGGAGGTAAATCAAAAATCAATTCTCCAAAATTCATTTTTATTTCTAGTCTGACGCGACACGAGCGCGTTTCGTAAAACTTATTACATTTTCAAAGACTTTAGTTTACAAATACACAACTGAATAGAACTTACGCATCTCCGATTTTATATCTACATTTGAGTGAGGTGGATGGGGTGAGGTGGCATTAATAGGGTATTAATTTCATCAACACAAGACAGAACAAGAGGTGGTATTAATAGGGTATTAATTTCATCAACACAAGACAGAACACGAAACAATGGGTATTGAATAGAAGTGTTTGTAGAAAGCCTATTGGTCCATATTTCTTGATGCTTCTATATTGGAGCGGAGTCTTGAGGTGGGTAGAATATAGTTGTGCATTAATTGGCTGTTGATTGCTGGTGTTGACTTCTTGATGTGTAGTGCCTCGCAAACGTCAAGCCGCCTGCTATCGCTGTATCTATCGATGATTTCTGTGTTGTTTACTAGGATTTCTCTGGCGATGGTTTGGTTGTGGGAAGAGATTATATGTTCCTTAATGGAGCCCTGTTGCTTATTCATCGTTAAACGCCTAGAAAGAGATGTTGTTGTCTTGCCTATATACTGGGTTTTTTGGAGCTTACAGTCCCCAAGAGGGCATTTGAAGGCATAGACGACGTTAGTCTCTTTTAAAGCGATCTGTTTTGTGTCTGGAGAGTTTCTCATGAGTAGGCTGGCCGTTTTTCTGGTTTTATAGTAAATCGTCAGTTGTATCTTCTGATTTTTGTCTGTAGGGATAACGTTTCTATTAACAATATCTTTTAGGACCCTTTCCTCCGTTTTATGAGCTGTGGAAAAGAAGTTCCTGTAAAATAGTCTAATAGGGGGTATAGGTGTTGTGTTAGTTGTCTCTTCAGAGGTTGCATGGCGTTTCACTTTCCTTCTTATGATGTCTTCAACGAAACCATTGGAGAAGCCGTTGTTGACTAGGACCTGCCTTACCCTGTGTCCTGTGTCAGATGAATTTTGGAGAATTGATTTTTGATTTACCTCCAACAGTGAAAAGAAATGTACGAAAGATTGAGAAAATTCGTGTTAGGATTATTAATCTTACTTTTTCGGTCATATTTAATAATATATGTCTACAGGAAAGACTGCTACCAAAATATACTAATATATATATATATATATATATATATATATATATATATATATATATATATATATATATATATATATATATATATATATATATATATATATATATATATATATATATATATATATATATATATATATATATATATATATATTTATATATATATATATATAAATATATATATATATATATATATATATATATATATATATATATATATATATATATATATATGTCGTACCTAGTAGCCAGAACGCACTTCTCAGCCTACTATGCAAGGCCCGATTTGCCTAATAAGCCAAGTTTTCCTGAATTAATATATTTTCTCTAATTTTTTTCTTATGAAATGATAAAGCTACCCATTTCATTATATATGAGGTCAATTTTTATTTATAGGAGTTAAAATTAACATAGATATATGACCGAACCTAACCAACCCTACCTAACCTAACCTAATCTATCTTTATAGGTTAGGTTAGGTTAGGTAGCCGAAAAAGTTAGGTTAGGTTAGGTTAGGTAGGTTAGGTAGCCGAAAAACAATTAATTCATGAAAACTTGGCTTATTAGGCAAATCGGGCCTTGAATAGTAGGCTCAGAAGTGCGTTCTGGCTACTAGGTACGACATATATATATATATATATATATATATATATATATATATGTTGTACCTAGTAGCCAGAACGCACTTCTTGGCCTACTATGCAAGGCCCGATTTGCCTAATAAGCCAAGTTTTCCTGAATTAATATATTTTCTCTAATTTTTTCTCATGAAATGATAAAGCTACCCATTTCATTATGTATGAGGTCAATTTTATTTTATTGGAGTTAAAATTAACGTAGATATATGACCGAACCTAACCAACCCTACCTACCTTGAGGTTACCTTGAGGTGCTTCCGGGGCTTAGCGTCCCCGCGGCCCGGTCATCGACCAGGCCTCCTGGTTGCTGGACTGATCAACCAGGCTGTTGGACGCGGCTACCTAACCTAACCTAACCTATCTTTATAGGTTAGGTTAGGTTAGGTAGCCGAAAAAGTTAGGTTAGGTTAGGTTAGGTAGGTTAGGTGGTCGAAAAACAATTAATTCTTGAAAGCTTGGCTTATTAGGCAAATTGGGCCTTGCATAGTAGGCTGAGAAGTGTGTTCTGACTACTAGGTACGACATATATATATATATATATATATATATATATATATATATATATATATATATATATATATATATATATATATATATATATATATATATATAACCAAAGCTGAGTAACCAAATGAGCCACAGAGACATTAGAAAGAACTTTTTCAGTGTCAGAGTAGTTAGTAAATGGAATGCACTAGAAAATGATGTGGTGAAGGCTGATTCCATACACAGTTTCAAATGTAGATATCATAGAGCTCGAGAAGCTCGGGAATCTGTACACCAGTAGATTGACGGTTGAGAAACAGGACCAAAGAGCCAAGCTCATCCCCGGCAACCACAACTAGGTTGTGGTTGCGGGGGTTGGTATATATATATATATATATATATATATATATATATATATATATATATATATATATATATATATATATATATATATATATATATATATATATATATACCAACCCCCGCAACCACAACCTAGTTGTGGTTGCCGGGGATGAGCTTGGCTCTTTGGTCCTGTCTCTCAACCGTCAATCTACTGGTGTACAGATTCCCGAGCTTCTCGAGCTCTATGATATCTACATTTGAAACTGTGTATGGAATCAGCCTTCACCACATCATTTTCTAGTGCATTCCATTTACTAACTACTCTGACACTGAAAAAGTTCTTTCTAATGTCTCTGTGGCTCATTTGGTTACTCAGCTTCCCCTGTGTCTTCTTGTGCATGAACCACCCGTGTTAAATAATCCATTCTTGTTTACCCTGTCAATTTCTCTGAGAATTTTGTATGTGGTGATCATGTCTCCCCGAGGTCTTCTGTTTTCCAGTGATGTGAGGTGCAGTTCACACAGCCTTTGCCTCTTAGTTCTGGGACTAGCCTAGTGGCAAACCTCTGAACTTTTTCCAGCTTCGTCTTGTGCTTGGGCTGCACATGCCACAGGAGGTGAACTTCCGAGCCCCGCACCTACGAATTCCAGACATCGTCACACCCCTCTTTTACCCGAGGCCGGCTTCCTTCACGACCAAGCAAAAGGAAGAGTAACAATTATTAATTAGTTATATTATTATTGTAATAACAATTATAATAATAATTGTTGTAATTACTAATTATTATTCACCTTTTGCTTGGTCTTGAAGGAAGCCAGCCTCGGGTGAAAAGGGTCTGTGACAATATCTGGCACCTGTAGGTGCGGGGCTCGGAAGTCCACCTCCTGGGGCTCATGCAGCCCAAACTCTGCTTCGGGAGGCTGGGGTCATTCTTGCCCTTGATGAGGTGGTTCTTCTCCGGCCCCGACCACAGCAGTCTCCAGGTTTGGAGTCCCTGTGCATTCTTTTACCAACTTCGAGGTTAACTCCGGAACAGGAGCCCCAAGGGCAGTTGCCTTCAACCTCGTTCTGACAGTTCCAGCAACGGTGCTGGAATCAACCCTGGCTTTGCGCCCTGGAGAGGACAGACCGACAACCAGAGTGCAACTCTATTGTATCCTTTGACTGATGGATGGATGCCTACTTGTGCTTGACAAGGTATGGGCTCCATGCTGGGAGTGCATACCCAAGAATTGGCCTTACATGTGTGGTATACAAGGTCTTTTTTTGCACAATCTTCTCCTTCATCTTGCATGGTATGCAAGTTATTGACACTGGCCATGTATGTATGTATATATATATGTAAGTATGTATATACGTGAGATGTGACTTACGGAGTGTATATATCTGAAGAAGTGGGCGTTGGGGGTTCATACATGGAGGAGTCAGGTGAGGTCTCTTGGCCAGTCATGCCAACCATCTGCGCCGCCTTGTGGTAGCGGACCTCGTCCTCAACCTTCTCCCGCTGTTTCTTGCTCATCCGCCCGAACTTCACCGCTGAAACAGAACAAACATTCTTCAAACACATGTTATAGTTAATCATTCTTAGAATTCCTAAACTACTGTTAACTAAATTAAATAAAACTGTGGAATATAGAATGTAGATTTGACCTAACTTAAACTCAGCCAAATTCTTCCCACACATTGTTTGTAATTGCATACACAAATATTGCAACAATTCCGTGACATTTTCAGGAAATGTTCAAATGCTTCTTCATGCAAAATAATATAGGCTGCATTATTAAAATCCAAGTCAAATATACGAAGCTTGAAGAGTATATATAAGTGTTAAATGTAAAATTATATCTAAAATTAAATATAAATTCAATATACTAAGTCCCTGTCAGCTTTGCTTCTGCTCCCAAAAGAGTACCAATGATGCAATTATTCGTCTACTTGATATAATCTACACATTCAAGAGCTATGAGGAGAGGATAGAGGCATTAAATATGCCAAAACTAGAAGACAGAAGAAAAAGAGGTGATATGATCACTACGTACAAAATAGTAACAGGAATTGATAAAATCGACAGGGAAGATTTCCTGAGACCTGGAACTTCAAGAACAAGAGGTCATAGATTTAAACTAAGTAAACAAAGATGCCAAAGAAATATAAGAAAATTCACTTTCGTAAACAGAGTGGTAGACGGTTGGAACAAGTTAAGTGAGAAGGTGGTGGAGGCCAAAACAGTCAGGAGTTTCAAAGCGTTATATGACAAAGAGTGCTGGGTAGATGGGACACCACGAGCATAGCTCTCATCCTGTAACTACACTTAGGTAATTACAGTCCTTGACAAAAATGAGTTCCCAATTGGACTCTTCATTGACCCGAGAAAGGTTTTTGATACTATTAAACATAACAACCTCTTACTTAAACTCCAACATTATGGAATTTGAGGCCTTACCCTGAACTATATTCAATCATATCTTAGTGACAGACACCAATATGTGGTTCAGCGAGTAATCATTATCCTCGCTCCAACCTCTCATTACATTAATGACAAACTCAATTAGCACTAATTGCGAAGCTATAATCTTTTCCCTAATTATAGGTAACATTCTTTCCATCCTATGGGAAGAAGCTGAGGTGTAGTCCAATAATATAAGCATCGAGAAGCAAAAAGCCAACAGTACAATTACCATAGTGGTTCAGTTAACTTCAGTACAAACGCTTGTGAGTTACCAAACCTCTTCAACCTCAAGAGTTTAGCAATCGGCATGTACAGTTCTAATCGACCCCAAGACGCTACAGCTTCGACACAGAGCAGACAGCAGACTACAACCGCATCGAGCTACAATGCTCTTGTTCCCCATCGAGTTTAGACACAATTCCCCATCGAGCAGCCACGCTCTCCAGCATAGAGCCCCACGACTCCAGCCTCACTCAGCTCTCTGCTCTGCTCCAAGCTCCGTCTCAATGTCTACGACAATGCCAATAACCGACTACTGTAATCAACACTACTAAATAAATATGAAACTCACTAAGCACTGTGTATCCAATATACCCAACAACGTAACATAATCATACGTTACCATAGCAATCAATGATATAAACTCTCCCACTCCTACTTAACCGTAGGAGTGCCACAGGGCAGCATCCTAGGACCTCTCCTATTTATTATATACAACAATGATCTGCCTAATGCCTCTAACATTGTTAAACTTATATTATTTGCTGATGATACTACCCACATCTACTCAGACCCCAACCCACACACATTAAATAATGTTGTAAATAACGAATTAAAAAATTCCACTTATGGATGTCAACCGACAAACTCATACTAAACATAGAAAAGACCTACTACATCTTATTTGGAAGCAAATCAACAAATATAATTCAGCTTCAGATAGATAATGTTATCATCAGCAATAAAAATGACAGAAAGTTCCTTGACCTATACATAGACAAGACACTCAAATTCAGCACCCACATACAATACATAACCAAGAAAGTTTAAAAAACAGTTAGTATACTTTCTAATATCATATATTATGGTTCTAACTCTGCTCCCCTCTCATTATACTACGTGCTAATCTATCCCTATCTTACATAAGGTATCTGTGAATGGTGTTCAACCACTGCAAACAACCTCAAGCCCATCATCACCTAGCAAAAATCTGCTATCAGAACAATAACACACTATGTTTTCAAACAACACTCAATCCTCTCTGTTTAAATCCCTAAACATGCTAAACATAAACTCACTCCATACATTCTCTTGTGCCATTTACATTTACAAACCCTTCATAAATTCAAATCCTGATCTGTAACTTTTCCTTGACAAATGTAATAGAACCTATAATCACCACACCAGAAATAATTATCTCTTTGATATCACAGAGTCAAACAAAATCTATGTAGGCAGTCTAAGTAAATAAAGGGACCTGGTCTATGGAACTCACTCCCTAACGAATTGAAAAGCTGTCCAACCTATGTCTTATTCAAAAATAAAACCAAAAAGTACCTAATTTCATCCTCATGGTTTCCAACCTAGTGCCAAACTCGCACTGTATCTTGTGCTAGCCACGCCCTCGATATATGTGCCTAAGCCATTTAGCTTCACCATTGTAATCACTGCTATCATCTTATATCATGGTTGTTATGCTGAAAATATATTTTACTACATTATATCTAGAAATGATCCTCAAATTATGCTACCATGTACCAGCTGATAATCCTCAAATGTTACTGTAATGTACCTACTAATCTGCGTCAAATTTTCTTACAATGTACCTGTTAACATTTCTCAATTTTCTAGAAATTACCAACTTAAAATTATCTGTTAGATTAAGGACCTGCCCGAAACACTATGCGTGTTAGTAGCTCTACAAAATTTAAAAACATCAATGCTATGTACACATAGCATTGATGCTATGTCGACTACAATCGACTTGATAATGGTCTAGGACGGACCGAAACGGTCGTCGTGTCCTCATATTCTGGTGTGTGTGATTTGTCATACTAAACATAGAAAATTCTCCAATATCTGTACCTGGCGAACTTTGTGGACAACCAGTAGTTGGCACTCGTAACACTAGGCTTTCAACCTTCAACAGTTTCACTCTGGAACTGCCTTTTATGTACCATGGAGACCTTCCTGTAGGATATTTTAATAATAAGAACCGGTAATGTGCTGCTGTCTGTTGTATCAGAAGTCGCATGGTGGCTCCCTTTCTTTTGATGATTTCCTCGACATATCTATTACAGTATCCATCATTAACCAAGACCTTCCTTATTCTACAGAGTTCTTCGTAACCTATTTCCAAGCTGTGTGTGAGGGCACGGTTGACATAGGTATTGATAACACTCTACTTGTCCCTATCAGGGCACTCAGTTTTAGCATTAAGGCACATTCCCATGTTGGTTTCCTTAGTGTTAAAACTACAGTGTTAAAGCCGCCATTTCTTACCGAGACTATTACATCTAGAAAAGTATTCTACTTCCACTTTGAATCTGCGGGCCGCTCCAAGCAACAGCCTGTTGGATAAAGCTCTCAAGTCAAGCCTGCCCTCGGGCTATGCTACCTTACCTAGAGGTTACCTTGAGGTGCTTCCGGGGCTTAGCGTCCCCGCGGCCCAGTCGTCGACCAGGCCTCCTGGTTGCTGGACTGATCAACCAGGGTGTTGGACGTGGCTGCTCGCAGCCTGACGTATGAGTCACAGCCTGGTTGATCAGGTATCCTTTGGAGGTGCTTATCCAGTTCTCTCTTGAACACTGTGAGGGGGATTGCTGGTTATGCCCCTTATGTGTACCGGAAGCGTGTTGAACAGTCTCGGGTCTCTGATGTTGATAGAGTTCTCTCTCAGAGTACCTGTTGCACCTCCACTTTTCAATGGGGGTATTCTGCACATCCTACCATGTCTTCTGGTCTCATGTGATGTTATTTCTGTGTGCAGGTTTGGGACCAGCCCCTCTAATATTTTCCACGTGTAGATTATTATGTATCTCTCCCGCCTGCGGTCAAGGGAGTACAGATTTAGGCTCTTTAGTCGGTCCCAATAGTTTAGATGTTTTACTGAGTGGATTCTAGCAGTAAAGGATCTCTGCACGTTCTCCAGGTCAGCAATTTCTCCAGCTTTGAAAGGGGCTGTCATTGTGCAGCAGTACTCCACTCTAGAGAGCACAAGCGTTTTGAAAAGTGTCATCATCGGTATAGCATCTCTAGTGTGAAAAGTTCTTGTTATCCAACCTGTCATTTTTCTTGCAGTTGTGACGGCTACTTTATTGTGTTCTTTAAAGGTAAGGTCTTCCGACATGAGTACACCCAGATCCTTTACATTGCCTTTTCGTTCTATGTTATGATTTGCCTGAGTTTTGTACGTGGTTTCCGTTTTTATATTTACATTTTTTTCATAGCGCATGAGCTGGAACTTATCTTCGTTAAACACCATATTATTTTCTGTAGCCCATAGAAAGACCTGATCTACATCTGACTGGAGGTTTGCTGTGTCCTCTATGTTGCCTACTTTCATGTAGATCCTAGTGTCATCTGCAAAGGATGATACAGTGCTATAGGTTGTGTTCTTGTCTATGTCCGATATGAGGATGAGAAAAAGTACTGGAGTAGATGTTTGCTTGGGAGTAGAACAACTCCCAGAACCCCATCAAGCAGGTATCAAGCAGGTAATCTCATAAGTGAACTTTAGCACTGAACATCATTCGAATGCATCCCTAAGCCGCAGCAAGAGCTCAATATCAGGTACCTGTAGGAATATACTGTTTACATATCCACAGTATGCACATACACTCGGCTTAAGGCCAATATCAATAAGGACTTTTTGTTCAACGGCACCCATGTAAAAATTAGCAAATAAGACACCAAGAGGAAAACCCATAGGAGGAAAGTCAGGTTGGAGAGAGGGAGGTTGGAGGCACGGCCCAATATGAGTGAAAGAGAGGCGGCTTATACAAGAGACGCAATGCGGAAGTAAAGGTGAGTTTAGCAGGTGTCCAAGGAGCACGTGCACCCCTTGTTGGAAATTTCCAACACTTAA